TATTTCTCCAGAAGTGTTTTTAATCTTTTTTAGATCTGAGATATTAGCATGTACTTGATATCATAAGGAGGCTCGAAACGGTTTTTCTTTAGCGCGCGCGCGCCCAAAGTCCGATGACCTAGAACTTGAAAAAAGGAAAAATTGTGCTTAAAAATTTGAATATTCAAACTAAAAATAAATCAAAAACTGTGCGGTGAAATTTCTTAAAATTTTGTATATGGCTTTGGTTTATGTTTTCGAAAACTTAAGGAAAACTAAAAAAGAAAACTAAAACGGAACTATTCCAAACAAATTTAATTGATTCTTACGAATTCCCTCTTACATAGGTTTTTCTTTTTTCGTCAAAAAGATAATGATACAAAGTTTAAATATTCCTGGTTTTAAAAAAATTCGCCGTTTGATTCTGAGTTATGATTTTTTATTTTTAAATGAGTATCTTTGATAGCCATAACGAGGGATCTGATGTTGTCATAGCAACGTCTTACGTCATTTTTTCATGTTTATTGTGATCTTTGGTTGATGGTCTTTGGCTTTCCTTGTTTACTTGCTGTCATATCATAGCCATAATAATTTTTTTAAGTTTATAAATGTGAGTGTATGTGAAGGCACAACACASTTTTCAGCCTCCTTAAATGAGATTTTCAATGATGATTATAGTGTTGTATTGTAGGATGTATAGGTAATAAWTTTTCTATATATTTTGAAGAACGTCGTTTCGGTGTCCCATTGGCACTATTTTTAAATGTAACTTAATGACAAAGAGATTAAGGACGTTCATGCCCTACAGATCCATCGTCAGACTTTTTTAAATTTTGCATTTTGAAAGAACACCGTACTATAAGTAAGATACACAAATCAAAAATAGGTTTCACCGACTGCGTTTAGGCATTTAAATTAGCACCATTTCTTCCTTTGTGCATCAAGTGTATGCGTAAACCGCCTCAWGTATGATGTGGTGCGCGGCAACTACAGTGCACATGAATATGCCTATGCTCCTCTGGCCACACTCTCCATATATATCAATTAKCGCTCACTTCTCACCAATGCTACCCGGGTTCGATTTCCGTCGGCCTCGGTGTTTTATTTGAGTAGAGTTGCTGGTTGTATGGTTCTCTCCTGTACTTTGAGGGTTTATCCCTGTGTTCAAAGGTTTTCCTTCCTCCACAAGAACGAACTTCTAAATTTCGATTGCAATTCATTGGATGAAAAGTCACTCTGTGAGAAGTGCCACGAGTATGAGTATGAGTATGTCATTGGATGAAAAGTCACTCTGTGAGAAGTGCCACGGTTGAAATCCCACTTAAAGCCAGATGCTGATCTGAAATAGTGACTTAGAAATGATATCACTGAAAAACTGAGGAGTCACTAAGCCAGTAAAAATACTCCAGTTTCGAGTTTTCTTTGCTCAMACCTTAGCCTCAGGTGTACGTTAAAATATCTAAACATTCAACCAAAACCTGTCGCATTTTAATCAACATGTAATGTTCCGTAGTACGTACATTCCTTACTAAACAATAGGCCTTAATAAAAGAAAGGAACCCATTTTTCCACAATTGAGGTTAAGACTTAGCGAAGGCGAACTCCAAATGCAAACTCAAACTCGATTATGACCAGTGAAAAATAAAAATATTCCCACCGTTACAATGGAAATACAGAACGCCTTTTGAAAAAAATATATATTGGGTTGATTGACGATTATTAGGTGGTTATCCAGTATTGAATCAATCAAAAAATGGAACCAAACCAGATTCGGAAATCCGTTCAAAAGCTCCAGAATCACTAAAAAGAAGAAGAACATTGAAAACAATTGTATGATTTTATACTTTTATTTTACCACAGTAATGTGTCATTACCAACACACACATGCCTGGACTTTGAACAAATGTAAATATTATTATAAAGCCATGCAACTTCGTAATCAATTACTCGCACCTGTTAGTTATATTCAGTAAAACTGGCGCGATTAAAATAGCCATCGACCAAAAAACATTTCTTTATCGTATAAATTTYTAAATGGTCTTAATTTCAGTCTAATATTAATTTAGAAACTCATAGCATAATCAAGCCATATTTTCTTATTTTGTACCTCAGTATAGTGCATGCGCCGCGACACTAAAACCTACCTTCGCTTATTTGAAAAACACTGTATTGGAAAATGAATCCACAGAGCAAATCGTGTTCTTCCAACATTTGTATAAAACACTGAAAGTATTAAAATCAATTTAAACTCCAAATATGGGTTTGCTAGGCTTTGCAAACGATTAATAGCTGAAAATAAAATAAAATCTCAAAAATTCCTTGGTGCCAAAGGGGTAAAAGCCTCAGTTTTGTATCTCCATTCTGAATAGTGCAGAGTAGAACTTAGCATGACCTGGACAGCAGCAAGTTTTGAAAACAAGGAAGTATTTTCATCTCAGACAATTTCAATGAAACTTCAAACTGAAAACTGTCCCAAACTATTGCCGCGTAATTGTTCTTAGGTGATTGAAAATAGTTATCATTCAGATTTGGTATATACTATAGCATGCACCGTACCACCAGGCACCGTTCGCTTTAACTGCAAAGTTGACATACCCATTTGGGTCATTATCACGATCTTTGGTGGTAAAGTAAAKGTTATTGTGCCTCTGTGCAAACGAGTCTCCCGCAGTACCTGAATACGAGGATACTTTTAGTCTGTACTCGTCTGACTCTGCACTGATACTAAAATTACAATGATTTGGCATGTTTACGCACTCCTCCCCAGTCCTCCAGATCCACTCTTGGACTCCAAGGTGTTCTTGCTGTCAGGCGATAGATGTAGTCATTACCCAACCAAAAYTCACCCTTCAGGTTTCCAAAACCTGTTTTATATTGCTGCCGGTCACGATAAAAGTCTATCGATCCATCTTGYCTTCTCTGGAACACTGTCCACCCCCCTCCGTCAGTTGTCATGTCACAGTAGACTTAAAAGGGTCTTTGGCTGTCGGGCTTGATTGGGTAGATGCCGCTACGTTTCTCACCGGATTCAAATATTTCCAAGCAATCTGCAATCAAGAATCAAATAATGAACCACCATTAATTACAAACATAAAGCCCTTTGAAATGGTTAGCTAGCAATGTAAAAATCAAAGTCTCACTTGCATACATACAAAGAACCTAATGTGTAATAGCTAATGCTAAGACAGTAGTCAGTCTCTTTCTTGCACACCTGGAAGCACTCGAGGGTATTTGGAGATAGGAAGGAGCGTATTATTTTAGTTTCAACATGGAGATAGAAGATCTGCAGTTGGCATGCACACCAATGATGAGAAGACTGAAGACAGTAAGTACTGATGGCAGGCACACCATAGCTATTCAGTGAACACTAAAAAATATATATTTCAAAACGGTAAAAAGTATCTTCAGCTAAGGTAGTTACGTAGGCAATCACGTTTCGTTTATAACACTTAAACGAAGTCGGGCGCCCCCCTTTTTAACTCGTGGATACGCGAAGCGTAGAGACAAGTTATTGTGAGGGGTCCGAATACTCAATTGTGTCACTCACTCGCTCACTCACTCACTCACTCACTCATTAACTGAGTAAGGCGTTAGCAGATCGATAATTAAACGTTTTATGAACGTGTTACGTCATCTTCTTACGAACCTTACACGACACTAACAACTGACAAAGCTCGTATTCAGTATAGACTATTTTTGCTATTTATATGGTGAAATGAACTGCTGATATTTCATCTGGGATATTTCTAGCATTGTGGACCCACTGACATGCGCACACTTGCACATAGTTTTATTTTCGGACTATTTATAGCAACAGAATAAAGGAAAGATACAAGTTGAAGTAAAATAATACGATTAACCAAGGGCACTAGGGCAACTTTAAAAGATTGCAAAATTTGTTGCAGTTATGCCCATTAAAAAAAGGTGTTGATGGCTTCTTGTGATAGGTTTCCTGAGCAAAAATAAATTGAGCTGTCCTTATCTTGAAGGACTGAACTGGCTATTTCGGGATCACAGAGAGTGTAACCAACACCTTGAATGTCAGTGACTATCAAATGGAAATCAGACCTAACGTAGGTATAGTGGACGAAGGCTTCTGCTTTAAGTGTTATGTCCGCATCGTCCTTAAGACAAATTTCTCCAGTGCTGTTTATGTACTTTTGGAAATTTCCATCAATAAAGTCCTCCACTGTAACAAATTCATCGTCCAGTGAAGTGAAATAGACCTTCACATACTTAAAGGTTTCTCCATATACAAGAGTAATCCTTTCCCAATCTAAGTTTTGCGCGAAATTGCGTGCTAAAGAATTCATTTGGACGATTTTTCTTGTATGATTTTCAAGTGTTCCAAAAAGTTCCAAAATGTCTTGACGTTTATCGCTACGATACTTTTTAACGACGTACTTTCCTTTTGGCATACCACTGATCGCTTTGGCCAGAAAGGCTTCACGTACACCCCTTCTGAAAATTGCTTTCTTTGTAGTGTAAACTTGGCTTCAAAGGGCTCTCTCCACATATCTGTTACGGAAAACTCTTCCAGCTGGAGGGTAACAATATCAACTTCCGGAGTGATAACTTTTCCAACCTTTAGCATATGGCTCAATGACACGGATGCCACAACTGAAGGGTCGATTATACCATTTTCTGGTTTGGTTTTGACCCTTCCGCTGAGTTCACGCACCAGAGTTTCCTTGTTAACGTTAAGTGGGGTACTTGAAGGACCGCTGTCAATGACAGTGTGCTGGCTAGCATTATCAATAAACCGGACATGTAATACCTTCTAGTTCTCGATCTGGCCGACATCGGTAAATGAAGGTCCCCTCTCTCCAGCTAAGACATCGCACTCGAGATTTTTCTTGAAATGTGCTTGACAAGCTGCTTTGATGTTTGGCAGATTAACTTCTTTCTCTGGGTCCAAGGGAACTAGAGTTAATGGCCCGATACTCGAGTACTTCTGACATTTACCTTCGACGTTAGCTGACAGCCTTTGCACGGTTAAATTGCCTGATGACCCTCCACGATTCTTCTTTCCATCAGTTCGCTTTTTTGAGATTTTGTCGCGAAAGTTTTCCCAATCTTTCTTACGTTTTACAGACATTTCTAGCAGTAAATAGTCGAGTGGTTGAGATATGTCACATGGAATGATGTACATCATGCGCCCGCGATCTATCACATGG